TCTGACAGGGATCAAAATAGAGAGTCCTGGACAGAGTGGGAGAAAAAAGGTCGGAAAAAATTCAAATTCACAAAAAAAGACCAGACTTACTGGTCTGACTGAGACTGGAGGAACCCTCAGACTATGGCCCATGGACACCGTTTTAACTCAGAACGGAAGTCACTCCTGAAGTTCACCCTTCAGCCGAAGATTACACAGGTCTATAAAACAAACAATAACATAACATGAGTAACATTCTTCTTAGCTCAGTCATGTAAATGAGACCAAATGGGCAACACCTGTCCAAAAGTAAAGATGAGAAGGCAGGAAGGGACAGGAAAATGGGGGGAACGGAAACGAGGAATTTGGGGTGAAGGGGAGAGGGCTGACACATTGCAGGAATTGCAACCAATGTCACAAAACAATTTGTGTATAAATTGTTAAATGAGAAAATAATTTGCTCTGTAAACTTTCACCTAAAGCACAGTTAAGAATAATAATAATAATGAAAAAAAATTATTTCACAATAAAATTATTTACAATTGTTAAAGAAAAAAATTAATAACATCTTTGATTTTAAGTTTTTCTTACCCATGAAACCAAAAATTAACCGTAAAAAAAGCCCAACCCAAACAAACTGCAAATGTATTGACTTGGTTTTTTCCACCAGAATTTGCTCTGCAACTTTATAAATTTTTTTCTTTTCTGGCTAGAAAAGTGTAGGCTTTAACAAACTCTTTACATCATGATTTAATAAAAAAAAAGACTGTGAGCTTCCTTAATTTTAATTTCAAGAAGTCTTATAGCTACAAACGGATTAAGGGCCAAATTTTCAGGAGTTACATTTTTAATGCTAACTCAGTGACCATTAAATGCTTGGTCACCATGGAAACTTGTATTCTTTAAGAAAAAAATATTTATGTCTCTGTGAAATCTCCAATCCTTGGGAGCATTTTTTTCTTCATTTCCTTCATGCAAGGAGAAAAAATTGTTGATTAAATCATGAAACAATCTAATATTATATTATTGTTTTGAGCTAACTCAAAAGTTTATTTTTTTACAATTATAACTAACCTACTTTGAGTCACTCATTTTCAGAAACAAAATTGCCTCCCGGCAAGCATATAGAATGACTGCTCGGAATAAATCTTATATTTTAATTTCTTCGTATTTTGATTATCTTTAACACAGGGTTTATCTCAGTCTTCTAGGACTGCTATAACAGAAATACCACAAGTGGATGGCTTTAACAAAGATAAATTTATTCTCTCACAGTCTAGAAGGCTAAAAGTCTGAATTCAGGGTGCCAGCTCCAGGGGAAGGCTTTGTCTCTCTGTCACTCTGGGAGAAGATCCTTGTCATCAATCTTCTCTGGTCGAGGAGCTTCTCAGGGCAGGGAGCCCAGGTCCAAAGGATGCACTCTTCTTTTGGCACTACTTTCTTGGTGGTATGAGGTCGCCATGTCTTTCTGCTTGCTTCTCTCTTTTATATCTCAAAAGAGATTGGCTCAAAACACAGTCCAATCTTGTAGATTGAGTCCTGCCTCATTAACATAACTGCCGCTAATCCCGCCACCTCATCAACATCATAGAGATAGGATTAACAGCACATAGGAAAATCACATCAGATGACAAAATGGTGGACAGTCACACAATACTGGGAATCATGGCCTAGGCAAGTTAACAGACATTTTTTGGGGGATACAGTTCAATCCATGACAAGGTTTTTCCAAGGTAAATACAGGAAGCTTTCCCCAATTAATTCTACAAGGAACCTAATGACAGTCGGCTTTCATAGAAGTAATGCCTTTGGAAGGTAAGAAATTTTTATCTACTTGTGTGTATGGTGTCTGACATAAAGTCTTTCCCTGTTTAAGAGCAGATACTCAGAAAATAGTGTAAAGTTTCTCTTAAAATACATAATTCTCACTTTTAAAATATCAAAACATTAAATCTGACAGAGGAGGTCATTTTGTTTCTACTATTGTCCAGGAATTATGCAAATGTTTGCAGATTTGGATAAGCTCCTCAGTCTTCCAGGCAGGTAAAGCAATGAACTGAACTTAAAAAATAATAATAATAATTAATTAGCTAAAATTTAGCAATCTACTGGCTTGAAATGGCTCAGAGCTTTATCACAGAGCTTAACTACTAGTCTTGTTAAAAATTAGAATGGCCAATGAATCTGTGAAGCATCTCATAACACGGATGAAACTGGAGGACATTATGCTGAGTGAAATAAGTCAATCACAAAAGGACAAATACTGTATGAGACCTCTACTGTAAAAAACCATGAAAAAGTTTACACACAAAAAGTAACAATGTTTGTTGGTTACGAGGGATGGGAGGGGTGGGGAGAAATACTAAATAGACAATAGATAAGTGGTATCTTTTGTGAAGGGTGAGACAGTACACAATACTAGGGAGACCAGCACAACTTATACAAGGAAAGGTCATGGAAGCTCCACAGACACATCCAAACTACCAGAGGGACTGAATTGCTAGGCGGAGGGCTGTGGGGACCATGGTCTCAGGGAACGTCTAGCTCAATTGGCGTAACACAGTTTATAAAGACAATGTTCTACATTCTACCTTGGTGAGTAGCGTCTGAGGTCTTAAAAGCCTCTGAGCAGTCATCTAAGATACTCCACTGGTCTCTTCCCTTCGGGAGCAAGAGAGAATGAAGAGAACTGGATACAACGAAAAGATGAGTCCAAAGGACTAATGGACCACAGCTACCAAGGCCTCCACCAGACTGAGTCCAGTACAGCTAGATGGTGCCTGGGTACCATCACTGACTGCTCTGACCGGGATCACAACAGAGGGTTCTGGACAGAGCTGGAGAAGGATGTAGAACAAAATTCTAACACACACACAAAAAAGACCAGATTTACTGGCCAAAAGGAGACTGGAGAAACCCCGAGAGTATGGCTCCCAGACACCTTTTTAGCTCAGTGGTGAAGTCACTTCCGAGGTTCACCATTCAGCTGGGGATTGGACAGCCACATAAAACAAAATGGGACTAACGAGGCACAGCATTCCAGAGACAAGGGCTAGAAGGCAGAAGGAGACAGGAAAGCTGGTGATAGGGAACCCAAGGTTGAGTAAGGACAGTGTTGATGTGTAGTGAGGTTGTTAACCATTGTCATAGGGCAACATGTGTACTGTTTAATGAGAAACTATTTGTTCTGTAAACCTTCACCTGAAGTACAATAAAAATAAAAAATTAGAATGGCGGTAAGCAAGTATGGAATCTCTCCCTTTAAACTTATGTTTAGTAGACCCACAAATTTGGGTCTGAGCCCATGTCCTGTGCCCAATTTAATTGAGTCCTCCCATAATCATGTTCAATACTTAAAAAGTCTTCCTCTCTTCCCTAGAAACCTTGAGACTTAACGTCATAAGGACTTGGAAGTACCTGCTAGAGGAAATCTGTCACTCCTCTCTACTAGATTTCATCTACATAAAGGTGTTCCAAAAAAAAGACAGGCTGTCCTCAAGTTGGAAAGGACCTCTTCAAGTGCTGATTGACCATATGGCTATTAAAAGAAAAACCCAGCTGGATTTGAGACATAGCCCCCATAGTCTGCATTAAAAATTCTGTTTTCTCTGCTTGGCTTCCTCCCCAATAGTGTTGTATTAAAAATCCTGTTTCCTTCGTTGGGCTTGACCCCACTTTTGCTTGGAGGTTATATGTAAACCCCATTGCACCTTCGTAGATGACTAAGAATGTTGCTGACATAATTTGTATGAACACCCTACTTGTAAACCCCTTAAAAGTAACTTGCCCGCCCACCCCTGGGGAGCAGTCTTGGCGGCAGCAGCTCTTCTTTTCCTTGTACAACGAAATAAAGGTGCCTTTCCTGTTCTCCCACCTCAGTCCCTCATTTAATAGCCAATACGAGCCATGCCGAACAAGAACCTGGGGTTTCCACCTGGTAACAGATTCATGCTTCCACGTGAAGCCTGCACCAAAGGAAGATTGGATTGCAGTTCCCACAAAGGACGTCCAGTTTTCAAGAGTAATTGATATTAGTACTGGACTAAACTGAAAGGAGGTAGTCCAGGAAGCTTACTAGGGTTCTCAGAGACAGCCTTACTATTCTATTCATGGTAGTGGTTACTTCAATTATGTTAAAAATCACATTTTATTTTTTTAAAAAACAACCACATTGTTATAGTTTGGAATTATACTGTTTGGAACAGTTCAAAAATTATAAGAATTTTCTTATAAGTAGAAAAAAAGATTGTTCATATTTAAGGAAACAATTGAGTATTGAAACTATGACTATTCCAACAGAGACAGAAAAGAGAAACATCTAATTAATAGCCCAACAGACAGGGACTGTTATTCAGATAGGGACTGCAGAAAACAGGTCTAATGTCACTTGATTAACTTTGGGATGCAAGTCGTTTGGAATCTAATATAGACAGATAATCATGGAGATGTAGTGGCTTGCAAAATATTGCTATTGATTTGATTTGAAAAGTGGCCCACTCGATGGCTTTGTCCTCAAGACAGTTAGAGCCATGTGCATTTAACACAAAGTTCAATCTGTACTCTTGAACCAGTGCCCCATAAGTTAGCAGCCAAGTTCTTAACCAGTATAGGGTCCCTATGAGTCGGAATCTACTCAACGGCAATCGGTTTTTGGGTTTTTTTGCACCACCAGGGCTCCAGCAACACTGGTACTAGATAATGTATTTCCCATTTGAGAAATATTTGTTTGGAAAGACAGAACAACTACTAAGAGGCCTAAATTATCATGTAAATATGTTATTTATGTGATTGACTAAAACTCAGGAGAAATTATTTAGGCTTTGCCAAAAAAAACCTCTTAGTTAAAAGTTTAGATCAGCAGGTGCCACAGTTAAAATACCCCTTACGCTTTGATTGGTTAAAACTAGAAAATTGAAATTAACTACAAAATAATACAGGTATTTGAAAGCACAACCAATAAAGATGTCACAATAGTTAGTAAAATTAATGTGTGACTAAAAATATTTTTGTGTATTACTGATCAAGAATTTGGTTTAAGCATTGACTATTGGTATAATATTTAAAGGTTATTCCCCAAAGCAAAAATTGTACTGAAATTTTTGATTCATCTTCTTGTTTAATTCTGACAATTGCTTTGCAATTTAGCATAAACTTGTTGGGTATTTAGGCGACCACAAGTTGCCCAGAGAAAAGTAAAAATAGCAATAGAAATAAGTAAAAAGTTGTAATGTTACTATCTTATAGTAACACAATTGTCTTTCTGAAAAGTATGTTTCCTCAAGGACCTGGAAGCCATCTCTTCTGAAATGTAATCAAGGAAGGTCACACCCCTACCTCCCAGTTTCCTGAATGGCAATTAGCATAACTTCAGGTATCCTGACATCAAAATACTGGAAAATTAGCAATTTTATCTTAAACATGAATGTTATTAAGTTGTATTCACTCAGCTATATAAAGGATTAAGACTTCTGTCTTTGCAATCTCTCTTGCAGATTGCTTATGATGCATCACATTCTGGTTTAATGTTTATTCAATAATAAAATGTTGCTTTCTCTTCTATATTTGTGGAGAGTTTTTCTGGGCTGGGAGATGTCATTTTTAGAAACTTTTCCCCAAAATTGATCGGTATTTCATTTACGACATTTGCACCAAGGTTCTTAAGTGAGGTTAATTCCTAGTTTCCTTTATCATGGAATCTTTATCAGATTTGGGCATCAATGATACACTTGCTTCATAAAAAGAATGTGTAAACTTTCATTTTCTCTAGTTTGAACAGTTTACATAGCATTAGGGATTAGCTGGTCTTTAAAAAGTTTGCTAGTTTCTCCTGAATCCATGTGGATCAGGTGCTTTTTGTGGAGTAATTCTTTGATAATTTTCTCTATTTCTTCTATGAGGATTTGTTTAAACTTTCCATCTCTCCTAGGGTGAATTTCAGTAAATTCTATTTTCCTAAGAAATTAATTATCCATTTCAGCTTCAAATTTATTTGTACCAAGTTATGCGCAGTAATCTTATGTTTATTGGTTTGACTATCCTGTTTCGGTGGTTATTTCTCCCTTTTATTTTTTGTCCTTGTGCTTTCTAAAGTTTTGATTAGGTAAGCTAGTGGATTGTCTGTGTTTTGAGACCACCATTAACTCTAACATTTGTTTTTTATCTACTTTTTGCTTTTATCGTTATTAAAACTTTCTGGGAAAAAAAAGCAATATCAGAACTTATGGAATACAATTAAGTCAGTGATTAGGAGGAAATTCATAGCTTTAAATGCTTTCTTTTAATAACTAATGAGAATCAAAATATGTGAATTAGATATTCTATTTATAAAAGAAAGTAAACAAAAAGAAAAAGGAAATAACAATAAAAGTCCTATGCCTTTTCCAAGTCACGCACTGACAAGCCAGCTGCTACATGAATTTGCTCCTGGGTTTGGACTGCAGTGAGATGATGAGGTCCTGGAACAATCTCTGGATTCCATGACTCCTGCTCCAAAGTGTAGGGCATTTTAACCAGAGGCAGGATAAGGGTATAGTTTTTCCACACAGGTCTTTAAAAATACTTTAATACTAGAGACGAACCATGCAGCATGAATGGCAGCATTTGTGCAACTCAATCCCTGCCAATAATTAATACTAACTGAACTGTGCCAAAACCACCTGTACTAAGTATTATACCTCATTGCTGTTGAGTCGATTCTGACTCAAAGCGACCCTACGGGACAGAGTGGAACTGCCCCATAGGGTTTCCAAGGCGGTAATCTTTACAGAAGCAAACTGCCACATTTTTCTCTCCCAGAGTGACTAAATGGATTCGAACTGCTTACCTTTCCAGTTAGTAGCCGAGCACTTTAACCATTGTATGGCCAAGGCTCCTTACACAGTATGATAAAACCCGTGCCCGTCAAGTCAATTCTGACTCACAATGACCCTATAGGACAGAGTAGAACTGCCCTATAGAGTTTCCAAGGAGCGGCTGGTGGACTCAAACTGCCAACTTTTTGGTTAGCAGCTGTAGCTCTTGACCACTATGCCACCAGGGCTATAGTCACATTAAAATTACCACTGAAGCTAAAATATAATATGGAAAAGTTAACAGGGTTACATTAATCTCAGCAATAAAGTGTAAGATTTTACGTTTACCAATGTTTAGTATTTATAAGTAACTTACTTTCTAAAATTCTATTTATCATCTTCAATTTCAATTTGTATTTGACAGACACTAAGAGCTGACCAGGGAAAATATTTATAATAAATGAAGAGAAAGCATACATAATGGTATATACAATATGACTTGGTAAAAAACAGAAATACATATTTTATACACCAAAATATTTACATTGGTAATAACCCCTTGAAGGCAAAAACCCTGTCTTACTTATCTTTATATTCCCAATCTTATAGAAGAATGCCTGGCACAAAGTAGGTGCTCAGTGGGTGTTTGCTGAAAAAATAAAAGTGCGTAACATATGCCTTGGGAAAAAAGTAATCAAGTAAATATATGAAATTTTAATACATTTGTATCTGAAACATATAAAGCCTAAAGACAAAGTTAATACCGCATTAAAATTACCCAATGGTAGCTTTGTTACTACAAAATTAAATTGAGTCAAAAATTCAACTCTAAAAAAAAAATGACTTGAGAATCAAGTATCTACATATATTAAGATAAGTAAACTGTCTTATGCTACATCATCATCATCTACTGCAGTATAGATGGCTTGATTCCTCCTCTTAATTTTCTTTCTTTGTTCAGGTTCATGTTCATCACTCAGCCTCTTCAATGGCGCTTCAATTAAGTCCTTCCCATCCCTGGACTCCATAGTATCACCAGCTTTCCCCTCTGTAGCAATTGGGGAGCCCAATGTATCATCAGGAGATACAATCATGGAACCTGGCAAGATCCTGACATCAGAGAAGCTTGCAGAAAAGTCAGATGCTTGATCAGAAGGTCCTACAGATGAGGTATTCGTGTCACTGTGTGCACTTAGCATGCTGTCTGCATCTTCCTCTTCTTCATCTAACACTATTTCATCTGGGTTAACAGAGGACAGGGCAGAGGTGTCTGTGTTATATTCACTAAGTTCTCCTGAGTCATTACTCTCCACGTCATCCTGCTCTTCATTTTCATTACACAAGTAAGGTTCTTCCTTGGCCTTCTGAAGCCTGACATTAATGTCTGTGATGCCAAGTTGAGCACAAAATTCAGTAGTCTGAGGACTGATCCTATGAAGCAGCTGCATTTGGTTCTGTGGCTTGCTAGGGTCATAGCAAGCAGCTGTTACACTAAAGTTACATGGAACTTTGAGGTCATGATTCAATTTTTCCAATACTCCTTTCATAGCTTCTTCTGTTGCACTATAGTCCCACCTATGAAAGTCCAAAAAATAGCTTTTTACATTTTACCAGCCTCAGGGATAATATATCAAAATTCCATTTAGTAAAATCAAGGTGATAATTAATTTAGCCATTTTGAAATAAAAACTTTTAGAAAAAGCAGTCCTTAACTCACATCCTAAAACAAACAAATTATTTTACTGTACGAACCAAATCTCTACCATATTATAGTTTTATGCATACTTATTCACATATACACTTATTTAGGCTGGCACTCAACACTCCATTTTCTTGTCTCCATTAGATGGAAAACTTATAGCTTCCTAAACTATAGCAGACAGTAAACCTTGAACTGTTCTAACATCCATTCAACAATAATTCCTTCACTTTTGATGGAAAAATTTAGGAACAGGTAAGGGTGATGGTTGAATGATGAACATAAGTTAATGTCACTGAACTGTATATGTGAAGAATGTTGAAACGGCAAATGCTTTGTTACGTATTTACTACAATGAAGAAAAAGGGGAGGGGAAGGGAGGGAGACAACTGCAATGGAGACAGAAAGTTCTAAATAAGGTCACACTTACCTTGTATACAGGCCGTTATTTTCAGGCATATTCCATAGGCGCCCAGTCACATTAATAAGATCATTAGTAGCCCTGAGAATGGTGAGCCATTCAATATCATACTCCAAGTAATCAGGAGCACTGGGGTCATGTTCTATTTCTATTACCTACAGGGAGAAATGGGTAATTTTAAGAAATACATGTGTATTCTTAATATCTTAAAAAACGTAATATAACGTAACAAAAAAGTGTAAAACTACATTGCAAAAGTATTCCATTATTTCTTTACCTGAAGAAAGTCTCTATGCGGTAAGCATTTGTCCAATGCTAAAAATCTGGTTGCTTTGGCTGGCTGTCCTTTATCTTTAGCCTAGATAACATGAGCAATGATTTAAGAAAGAATGTTCAAACGTCACAGGTAACTCACACATTGACTAGAACGGAAATAATCTTTATTATGTATACCCCTAAATTGGGTGCCAAAGGAATGACTGTTACTTCTCCAAAATAAGTCAGTTCTGTACCCACCTGGGCAACCATGGGCTAGGCACTTAACCTCTCAGCTTCAGTTTCTTTCCAAAAGTCAAGGCAAAAACTAACGATGATCATGATGATCATGATGAGGATGATAATGATAAATCAAAGCACATAACACAAGGATAAAGAAGAAATAAGGCAGAAGACCTTAAAAGTAAATTGGCAAAGCTAAAACTATAAAACTTTTAGAGAAAACCAGAGGAGAAAATTTTGATAACCTTGAGTTAGGCAAAAATTTTTTAGATGCAACACCAAAAGTACAATGAGCTATATCTGTAGAATGAAACAGTATTCCATATGTGCTAATGGACATCAATAAAAAAAAAAAAAATAGTGATACATGCTACAACATGGATGAATCAGAAAAAACATGCAAAATGAAAGAAGCCAGACAAAAAAGACTATATATTGTATGATTTCATGTATATGAAATGTGCAGAAAAGGGAAAGCTATAGAAACAGAAAGCTATTAGTAGTTGACTGGGGCTGGAGGTAGGAAGGAAGACTGCAAGTAGGCATAAGGGATCTTTTGGAGGTGACAGAAATGTTCTAAAACTGGATTAAGATGATGTCTGCACAACTCTGAAAAGTTACCAAAAATCACTGAACTGTACACTTAAAATGAGTGAATTTTACGGTATGTAAACTATAATAAAAAAATTTTTTTAAGTGAATTGGGAAAAATCACAAAAATGAAAGCCACATTGGAAGCAGTACAACACAGCATCACTGAAAACAGTAAAGCACATGGAGGAAAAAAGGAAGTGAGCTATGCAAAGTCCTGCTGAGGATCAGGTATATCAGTTCATTTCTGGTGTGACGACAAGCAGAAAGCACAGATTACAGGCACATCTTAGCAGGACAGCAGTTCTGAGGAAAGATGATCTTTGATGCTGATGAAGGCACTAAAACAGAACACTGGCGAAGTGAGGGGAGGTTGGGGAGCTAATAAAAGCAGATCAAAAGCATTATTAATGCACAGTTACAAGTCGCTAAGGTTGATGACAGATGATGGGAGTAGGGAAAAAATAGGAAACCAGATTTTTCAGTAAAAACCGAAGAATGTTATGAGCCCTAAGAGATAGAAGAGAGTAACAGATACGGACAAGGTGACTGACATAAACAGATAATCAGCTTTAAAGGAAGATAGTTTTTAAATCAAGTGGCAGTGGCTCAAAGGAAAAATGAGAACAGCAACCTCCTTCTCCCAGTGAAACTGAGAAGAGAATAAGCCCACTACAACAGGAAGGGCCTGGAGGAATATTTTCAGGCAGAACCCTCCTTGGAGGAACACTGAAAAGGTATACCTATACCACGGAAAAGTCTTTAGTCAAGTAACTCTGGGAAGCACTACAAACCATATTCCACTCTTGGAGAATGGCAATGTCCATTAGCACATTAAAGGATCTCAGAAATTCTACTGTAAGGGCCCCAAGAAAAAATCTCTAACTTCATTAACCCAACATTTCCTAAAGATTTTCCCCATGGGATATTTTATATGAAAGTCAGATTTCAGTCAGAATTGATGGTAAAAGGAAGGAAAAACTTCATGTTTCCATAAAAGCCTAATTATATATTCTCTACCTTCCACCAAGCACTATCATCTACAGAGTTATGCAGTAAAAACTCTGGTAGTCATCCAAGACTCCCTCCTCCCTCTGCCACCAAATCCTGATGGTGCTTCATTCTCTGCATTCTCTCTTAGCTTTAAGTTAGAACTTCATTATTTTTTGCTGAATAGTCTCCTATTTAGGCCCTCGGTATCCCATTTCATATCACTCCAATCCATACACAAAATTGCTGCCAAACTAATCTTTCTAAAATGAAATTTTGATTTTATTATTCTCCAACTTAACTTTTCACTGTTTCCCCATCACCTTCTATCTAAAAGCCAAACCACAGAGCATGGCTCAGAGGCAGTGATAATTTTGCTTCATCTCTCCCTATGTCTCAGCAATAGCAACTAGCTGCAGTTCTTCAAATGTACCATGCTCCCAGACGTCTAGCCTTTGCACAGGAGTCCCTGGGTGGTGCGAACAGTTCAACACTTGACCACTAGCTGGAAGGCTGGTGGTTCAAACCCACTCAGAGGCACCTTGGAAGACATGCCTGGTGATCTGCTTCCAAAAGGGCACACCCTGAAAACCCTACAGAACAGTTCTCCTCTGCAGACATGGGATCACCATGAGTCAGAATCGACTCGACAACAAACAACAGCCACTGCCTGTACCTGGCATGCCCTTATGGTCTATCTCTTCCTGGTACTTCAAGACTCAGCTCAGGAATCAATTCCTTTGGGAAACCTTCTCTATCTCTTCATCTCTGCCCATATCCCATTCCCACCACAGTTTGGCTTAGGTACTCCCACAGCATCATCCTAGCATTGCTCCACCCCAAACTTATTACACTGTTTTGTACTTTCTTGTCTCTTTCCCCTCTGGATAATGAGCTACTCACAAAAGGAAAGTTATCTTCTATTTCTTTCTCTAACCTTACAACTGTGCAAGCAGTACCTAGTACATAGATATTCAGTAACTTTCAATGAATGAATAAAATACTTTGTCTTCTACCTGGTGCTGCATCAAGGCTGCAAACTTCACATGAAGGTGTGCAGAAAACCAGTAAGTAGGTTTTAGGTGCTCTAAGAGCTCCGAGGCAGCAGGACTTCCTAATGTGTTATTTTCCACTTCTTGTCGGAAAAAAGACTTAGCCTTAAGAAGTTGCTTCTTATTTCCGTAATGATATATACTTCTTGGCCAATCATGAGATAAGAATACATCCATAGGCTGCTTCAACTTAAAAAGAAAAAGAAAGCAAATTCTTAAACACAGACCAAAAGAAATCCTCCTTTCTCCCCACCACCACTGCATGACCCTTCACCTGTCCACATAACCACTCACCCTCTTAGATCTCTGTATAATTCATTCTAACGACACTTTAAGAAAGCCATAGAAACACTAAGCTACTCAATCACTGTCTTAGTTATATAGTGCTGCTATAACAGAAATACCACAAGTGGATGGCTTTAACAAAGGCACAGAGGTGAGGATTCAGAACACCTATTTTGGGGGGACATAATTCAATCCATAACGCTATGTGAGTTCATTAAAAATGTGGGGGGGGGGGCCTCATACCATCAAGAAAGCAGTGCCGGGAGCAGAGTGCGTCCTTTGGACTGGGGTCCCTGCGCCGAGAAGCTCCTAGTCCAGGGGAACACTGATGAGAAGGCCGACAGAGAGAGAAAGACTTCCCCTGGAGCTGACGCCCTGAATTTGGACTTTTAGCCTACTTTGACGGTGACAAAATAAACTTCTCTTCATTAAAACCATCCACTAGTGGTATTTCTCTTACGGCAGCACTAGATGACTAAGACAGAATTTGGTACCGAGAGTGGGGTGCTGCTCTAACAGATACCTAAAATGTGGAAGTGGTTTTAAAACTGTGAATGGATAGATATGCGGCAGTGACAGACAACCAGCAGCAGCAGAGAAGCAGCAGCAGCAGAACCAGGAGACCGGTAAAGACGGCACTGGGGCCGACCCATGGAGCAAGAGAGCTGAGTACCTGTGTGCAGGAGGCTTCCTGGTGGAGTGGGGTGCCTCTGGGCACTTATCAGTGGAGCTAGGCTTGCCGACCCATGGAGCAAGACAGCTGAGTGTCTGTGTGCATGAGGCTTTCTGGCAGAGTGGGGTGCCTCTGGGCACTTATACCTGTGGAGCTACTGAGCTTTGGAACACTTGCCCCAGCAGGGCAGATGCGGGCATGAGGCCCGAGGGCCAAGAGGTCATAGGAAGCAGAAGCTGAAGAGACAAGGGAAGCAAGAAGCCGAGCTGCTTCAGCCTCAAAAGGTATGGCCATGACCTCAGGGGTTTCAAAGGGTGGAGCCGTGGACTCTGGTGTTTCTAAGGGAACTAGGAGAATGGTGCGCCTAAAGCCAAGGGAGCAGAGTTGCTGTCCCAGTGGACCTGGAAGGCAGAGCTGAAGCCCAGGGCCGACAGGCCTCCACTCAAAATCCAGAGACTATGGCCAATACCTAGAGTCTGGAGGGCAGCGCTATTGTGTAAATTGTCTCAGAGAACAGATTATTTTCAAAGCCTTGAGGGCTAGTGTAATGTGTTCTGCTAACTTGCTTGGTGCCTGTTATGCCTCTTTCCCTGCAATTTCTCCCATTTGTAATGGAAATGTCTAGCTTATGCCTGTTCTGCCATTGTAACTTTGGAAGTAGATAACTTGTATTCTAGATTTCACAGATGAAGAGGAATTTTTTGGATTTTGGACTTGGAGTCAAGACTTTTGCTATGATATGATGTGGTGAATATGTTTTCCATGTTGCAAGGATGTGATTTTTTGGGGGCCAAAGGGTGGAATGTCATGGTTTGAATTATGTCCCCCAAAAAATGTGTATATCAGTTTGGCTGGGCCATGATTCCTGGTACTGTGTTATTTTCCTATATGTTGTAAACCCTGCCTCTATGATGTTAATGAGGGAGGACAGGTGGCAGTTTTAAGGCAGGACTGGATCTACAAGACTGGATTGTGTCCTGAGGCAATCTCTTGAGATATAAAAGATAGAAGAGAGCAGTGAGACAGGGGGACCTCATACCACCAAGAGAGCAGTACCAAGAGCAGAATGCGTCCTTTGGACTGGGGTCCCTGCGCCGAGAAGCTCCTAGTCCAGGGGAACACTGATGAGAAGGCCGACAGAGAGAGAAAGACTTCCCTTGGAGCTGACACCCTGAATTTGGACTTTTAGCCTACTTTGCCGGGGAGGAAATAAACTTCTCTCGTTAAAACCAAAAAAAAAAAAGTGTGTGTGTGTGTACACACGTTGGGAATGGGTTGTCTTTGTTAAGTTAATGAGACAGGATTAGTGTACGGTGTGTCTTAAGTTGATCTCTTTTGAAATATAAAATAGACTGAACAAGGGAGAGAAGCAGAGATGGGGGAAGAGAGATTCCAAGCCACACGAAGATCGATCGTCCAAGAGCAGAAGCTAAAAGAGACAACCACCTCCCTCCAGAGCCTGCACAGAAAGAAAGCCTTCCCCTAGAGCCAGCACCCTGAATTCACACATCTAGTCTCCTAAACTGTGAGAAAATAAATTTCTGTTTGTTAAAGCCACTTATTTGTGGTATTTGTTATAGCAGCACTAGATAATTAAGACACATAGTACATACAAAAACCTCTCCGCTTACTACATAAACTACTGTATTTTATGAAAATAATGTGCACCTTTCTACGTTTGTTTGCAAACTGTGCTCTCCCCACCCCCGCCACAAGGTATTCTCCTAAGCATGCTACGTTAATTTCTTTCTTTTTATAGCACGTGTAAAAAAAAGAGTGGCATAGCAGTGCTTATGAAAACAACTTTCAGGGGAGAAGGCGGGTTGACTAACAAACATAGAAGGTGCAAGTTACTTGCATAAAAATAGGGCGTATTGTAAGTATTTAAAGTGGTTGGTGTCTTCATAGGGAGGATACAAAACATACGCCATACATTACTCATCCCCAGCACCTGCAAGTAATCTGACACAAATACTTGGGAAACTATTTTAAACCAATTTGAGTAACTGTTTCAGATAATACAAAATATTAGATGTGACTAACCACTGAATAAGTGCTATGGGCAATAGATGCAATGAAAATTCAGACAAAGATGATGACTTTAAACTAGAACACTGGCTGGGAAGTAGCATCTAGGCTGGGTCTTAAAGACTGGTAGGATTTAGAAAGGTGGAAAGGGAAAAACATTCAAGGTAAGAAACGGTAGGTACAAACGGGGCGTAAAAGAAATGCCTGTGAACAGCCTTATACTCCTGTACAGGTTGTATGATGTGGTAAGAAGGGCATGAGATCAAAAATCAGGTCGGCTCTACCACTTACTTGGGAAGTCCTAGGTTATTTACCTGTCTGAGCTTTGGCTCCTCATTCTTAAAGTGATGAAGTTAAGAGTAACAGCTACCTCACAGGATTTAGGTTATTATATGAAATACTTTGTGTGAAAACTGCTAGCTCAGTGTTGGGTACTTAGTGGGTTCTCAAACAAAAACCTTCTACTCTCTAATTAAGCCAGTGTTTTGATACCCTCTTCACAATTTTCTCATGTTCTCTATCATCTTTACTACTATTTATTTTCTATTTAATTATATTATTTACTATTTAAAATAAATATTTTAATACTTTCTTTAGTTTCACTTTATTTCAAGATACAGTGAAACCTGTGAGAGTTGGAACTTGATGCTACCGCCTTGATTTTCCAGGTCTTGCAAGTTTTCCACCTTTAACAGGGTGCAGTCTTACCACTTTTCTATTGCTCTCTATTAGTGGGAAATACTTGAGTTTTCCTTCTCTGACAAGTTTCTGCCTTACAAAGGTTAGAGCTTTCATAGGTTTTACTGTATATTCTCTAGCCTTATCCTAAGTAATAATATCTGAAATCATGGATTAAATATTTTATTATTACTCACTAACATAAAGCCATAACCATTAAAATAAAAAACGTCCACCTGTGAACCTCCTAAAAGCAACATCTAAATTTTAAAAATATCAAATTAAGCTCTTCTTGGAAGTGGCATACCAAAATGATCAAAAAACATTTTGGTACAGAATTACTTCGAATTTTTTTAAGTCAGCTGTAACGTGCCTTTTACATACCTGTTTCAATTTATAAACTTCAATATTTCTCACATGATATATACTTCTTATTGTGGATGAATTATAAGGTGGGCACTCAAAATGACCTTAAATTGAAAGAAGAGAAATAAACTATATTCAATTCCCTCAAGTACTGCAAATACAAATACATATTTACACTTCCACAAAATTGACATTTATCATCAATTTTTGGTTATTAAAACTCTAAAAAAAAAAAAAAAAAAAAATCCACTGCTCTTAAAACGCTGGTATTTACTACCTAGCAAGGAGCCTGGCTGCACAGTGGTTACAGCACTCGGCTGCTAACTAAAAAATCAGCAGTTCAAACCCACCAGCCACTCCGCGGGAGAAAGCTGTGGCAGCCTGCTTCTGTAAGGATTTGCAGGCTTGGAAACTCTATGGGGCAGTTCCACTCTATGCTTACAGGGTCTCAAAAAGTCACAATCAACTCGATGGCAATGGGTTTAATGGGAATAGACCAGAAACTATAAATAATTGTGGAGCTTGTGATTTTTAAAATTGAATTATATTTCATTTTGGAGTAGATTATATACTCTCAGAGTTTAACATTTAAAAGATACCATAAGAAAAGCATAGAGTAAAAAAGTGTCTCTCCTAGAGAGATGAGTGGTTGGTGGCCTAGGGCTAGGGTAAGAGCAGAAATCAACTGCAAATGGGCACAAGAAACCTTTCTGGGGTAATGGAAATGTTCTAAATCTGGATGGTGGTGATGACTGCAGAGCTCTATAAATTTACTAAAATTACTTAATTGTATACTTACAATAGTACATAAACTTTACTTCAATAAAGCTGCTTTAAAAAAAAAAAAGGCCCTCTTCCCATTCCTGTCCCTCAGCCATCAGTAACCCTACCTAGAGGCAACCAACGTTAATCAAGTTCTTGTATTTTATTCCAGGACACCATCTGCACATATAATAAATACACAAATTTTTCTATCCCTTCGATTACACAAATGGTTGTATACTTTATACATATTCCATGCTTGCTTTTTTCTCTTAACCTATCTTGGAGATCTTTCCACACTAGTTACAAATAGAACTTCTTTTTTTTTAAATGGCTCATAGCATTATATTGCACAGTTATACCATGATATATTTAACTAGTTCCTACTATTTGCTATTACAAACAATACTGAAATAACTTTGTACATATCACTTTACTTAGAATATATCTGGAAATAAATTCCTGGAAGTGGAACTCCTGAGTCAGAGTACACTTATAATTTCCAGAGATACTACCAACTGTCCTCCAAAGCATGGTTCCAATCTGCCCCTACCCCTGCCATTTAGGAGACAGCTTGTCAGTATATGCCCATGCTAACAGATTAGAATCATGGGGAGTAGGGCGCAGGGAACAGACTTGTGATTTAAGAGTTTCAATGAGATTATAAATTTTAGCTACCAACTTATTTATTACAGGGTCACTATGAGTTGTAATCGACTCGACTATAATGGGTTTGGTTTTTCAGTTTTGGTATACTGATACAATAAAGTAAAAACCAAACCAAAGCAAACCTGTTGCCGTTGAGTCGATTCCGACTCATAGCGACCCTATAGGACAGAGTAGAACTGCCCCAGACAATAAAATACTATTCACAAATTAAAACAGATGGATTAGAGCTACATGTATCAACATGGATTTCAAAAACGTTAAAGAAGCAAGTTCCAGAAAGACACAAGCAACATGATATAGCATATGAAGTTTAAAACATGCCTTATAACACATTGTTTAAACATCTTACATATGCTGTAATGATATAAAAATAACCAAGAGAATGACAAACGCCAAATTCAGAATAGTGACCGCCTGGCAGGAGATGGAGGGACAAAAGGAGGGGCAGGGAATTGAGGACAAGTAAACAATGAACTTCACTTTTATCTGTACTGTTTTCTTTCTTAAAAATCAAAATTAAATATGGTAATATCCTAATACTTGATAAAACTGAATGATGGATACACAGATATATGTTATATGGTTCTCCATATTTTATTATGTATAAAATAGTCTATAATTTAAAAATTACAAATAGTTCATTAAAAAAACTCTAAAGAAAACTAATAGTCAAACTATATTATGCTTAAGTTATTCTGGGACATACAAGTTTTAAAGTCTAAAAATAACTCAAAATAACAATACCTTTTCGATAGTCATGAGATTTAAAGATACCAGAGATCCCACCGATCCTTAAACCTCGGTATTTTACCACACCAGCCAAACCTGAAAAAAAATTATGCAGTTAAATAAAGTCACTATAGGCAAAAGAAAAGTGATCTCTTTACTAACTGAATGAGCCACTTAAAGGCTTGGACTTCCATGCAGTCCTAAAATTATGTGAAAATTAAGCATCATGATGAGGTTATCTTTTACACTGTAAGACGTCAACAATACATAAGGTAGACAAGATGGTTAAGTGCTCAGCTGCTAACCAAAAGGTCAGGAGTTCGAACTCACCAGCTGCTCCACAAGACAAAGATGCGGAGTAGAGATTTACAGCCTTGGAAACCCTATGGGGCAGTTCTACTCTGTCCCATAGGGTCACTATGAGTTGGAATCGACTCTACAGTGTCGGGTTTGATTTGGGTTTGTTAAGGGTTTGAAGAGGGGAGCTTGGAAGCAAATCAGCCAAGAGACTAAGCAAAAAGGAAGGGACAAATGACATAAGGTATTAAGAAGGAAACAGACATAATTTGGTGGCTTAACTGAATATGGGGATTGGGTAGGGGAAATAGAAGAAAATGTCCTATGATAGATTTAGATGTTACAGATCTCAAAGTCAACAGGTACAAGGTATAAACAACCTGTACTTTCTATACTTCATTTCCAACTGATCATCATCTGACAATTTCACCTTTGGACCATACTGCAATTGTCAAGAGATGATCAATCAGTAATGAAGTAGAGAAACTAAAATTTCTGAAGTTATAATTTCACCACTGGAAAACCCGTAAATACTTTTATAAAAAAATACACTTCAACAGAGATTAAAGAACTGTATAGTTTAAAGGGACTAGAGCTCAAACAGAATTTAACCAGACCTCTAAATCTAGATGCCAGTTTACAGAAAATGCATAGGATAAAAGGAACATCTTAAACAACAACACAAGGAATCCAATCAGCTAAATTAAAAATGTAGGTAATTCTACAGAGCAAATTTCCCATTTTCTTCAACAAATAAATAACACGCGAAGAAAAGAGAGAGAGAAGAAACCATTACAGACTAAGAGACTTCAGAGTCATGGCAACCAAACAAAATGGGTGGACCTTGTATGGATCCTATTTGAACAAACCAACTGTAATACAGATATCTCTGAGATAATCAGGTAAATCTGAACATGAACTAGGCAACAGATACTAAGAAATTATTGTTACTTCAGTTAGATAGGAGCCCCGGTGGCACAGTGGTTAAGAGCAATAGCTGCTAACCAAAAGGTCAGCAGTTCGAGTCCACCAGCTGCTCCTTGGAAACCCTATGGGGCAGTTCTACTCTGTCCTATAGTCACTATGAGTCGGAAGCAACTTGACTGCAATGGGTTTTAATTAGGTATAATAATAGTACTGTAGTTGTGGTACTTAAAAATCCTTATCATTTAGAAATATGCACTAAAAAATTTACAGGTAAAATAATATGATAGATAGGATTTCCTTCAAAATACTCCAGTCATCTCTCCTGCCAAAAAGAAGGCAGGGTTGAAACAAGGATGGCAGAATGATAACGGTTGCTGAAGCTGGATAATGGGTACAGAGATTCATTATACTAATCTCTACTTTTGTGTATGCTTAACAATTCCCTTATAGAAAAGCTTAAAGGTTTTTTTTTTCCTTAATAAAAAGAGTAAAAGAAAATAAAGGGACTGCGAACAGTGTGTAAGACCTTTGCAGTTAAATATTTACTGCTAAAAAAAACAAAAAGCAGAGGAAGCACTGGCCTACTTTCATGATTAACTATTTAAATTAAAATTTCATTAACTATTTAAACTAAGTGACATTTCCAAAACACCATATATCTCAAAATGCTGCCCAAGTGGTCTACAAATCCTGACAAGCTCTTTCATCCCATCAAACTAAAAATTTACCGAGGAACACATACCTAAATAATAAATGTTTGGTGCCACCCAGCCACCATACGGTAACTCCTGCAAATGATTTGAGGCTTCATGGTTTCCCCCAATGAAGATTGTGAGAACTGGGGCCTTTTTCTCTCCAGAATAATACCTAGAACATCATAAGGGTAAAGCTGTCAGTTATCACAATTAGGTGTAACAGAAAAGCAAAATAAGGTCAGAAGAAAAATCTGAACGTATCATAAAAAATTAAAAAGCTCTGTCTAGGCAAATTGCCCAGTTCCACCCTTGTCCTTAAGAACGAAGAAATGCCACCTTAAGTTCCAAGCCAGAACAAGGTCAGAAACTTTGTCGAGTTCACTGCTTATAATCTCAACTTCTAAAACGTGAACTAGCACATACCGGGAGCCCTGATGGCGTAGTGGTTAAGAGCTTGGCTGAGAACCAAAAGGTCAGCAGTTTGAATCCACCAGCCACTCCTTGGAAACTCTAAGGGACAAGTTCTACTCTGTCCTATAGAGTCGCTATGAATCAGAATCGACTCCACGGCAACGGGTTTACGGTTACGGTTTAGCACATACAGGCGTCGAATAACAACTCCTGGATCATTAAATGAACCAGTACTAGAGTTCTATTAAGAACAAGGTACGTATCTAAATCTGTCCGTTTCTACCTCCGAGTTCTAATTCACTCCCCACGGGCTGCAATCCCTTGTGAAACTGATACGACGGGAGAAAAGAAAGAAGGCAAGTGACCTTTACTGAGCCGCCAGGCCTTGCGGACACAGCACGAACAAAGATAAGTACTCGGGCGGGGGCAGAAGGAAACTGTAACCCAGCGCGGCTTCTCTCCCCACTGCTGAAGTCAACACCTCGCTCGCCGCGTCTAAGGCCGGGCCTTGCCTTTACCTGTAGAAGGTCTGCATGTGGCGATACTTGGGCGGTACGGCCATGCAGCGCAGGTCGGCCTCGTTGCGCACCGCCTGGAAGTCGCCGCAGCACAGCAGCAGGTCCACCGGCCCCGGGCCGCGCCGCTCCGCCAGCGCCAGCGTCTCATAGATCTTGTCCAGCTCGCCGTGGCAGCAGCCGGCCACAGCCACCCGCATCCTACCGGCCCGAGGTGGGAAGTGCCGCCAGTAACGACGTAGACAGAGCCAGGCCAGGCCCTAGACGAGGAAATCTTGAAAACAACTTGCACAGCAACCGCCAGCATCAACCGAGACCCCGCTGCGTTCAGACTCCTGGAATTTAACTCACTTCCGCTTTCAAAATATCGCGAGAGAGGGATCGGCACCGGACTGGCTGATATCAGGACTCCAGGGAACCTTCAAATTGACTCCGGCTTAATCGTATTGCCCGCGTGATTGAGTCCTAGGAGTCTGATGGATGGTAAAATTAAAAACTAGAGTAGTAAATGAAATCCCCATAAATCGAAACTTAGTTTGATAAAATTAAAACCAGCCGAACAAGTGGACAGGAATGATCGGCTTATTCCCTAGGATAAATTTTGAGGGCATAGAGGGCCTGAAAGTGAATTAGACATTGAACAAAAGATTTACAAAAGACATCTCGAAATAAAAATTTTAAAATATAACTTAAAAATACACTGCGGATTTTGAAACTACCCCTCTAAGAGTTTCTAAAACTATCAGTTATTAAAAGGGGGGAGGGGCGTGCATCAAAGGTCTATCAACAAACTGAAAAGACAACCTATAAATTGGGAGAAAATTTGGGGGATCCATCTATCTGCTGTTGTTGTTGGGCGACATCAAGTCGATTCGGACTCACAGCGACCCTATAGGACAGAGCAGAACTGCCCCCGTAGGATTTCCAAGGCTGTCATCTTTACCGGAGCAGATAGATCACCAAGTCTTTTCTCCTGTGGAGCCTCTGATGGGTTCCAACCTCCAGACCTTCCAGTTAGTAGCTGAGCACTTAACTACCGCACCACTAGGGTTCCTTATATATATGAGCATGGATATATATAACCAGAATATATTAAAAACTTCCTACAACTTAACAACAAAAAAATAACCAATCAAAAAAATGGGGAAAATACTTGAATATATATTTCACCGAAAGGATATACAAATGGTCAACTAACACATGAAGAGATGCTCAATGTCATTAGTCATTTATTGTTAGTTATCATTGAGTCAGCTCTGACTCATGGTGACCCCATTTACAACAGAACGAAACGTGCCATTTTTTACAATCATTGGTACGCTCAAGTCCATTGTTTCCACCATTGTGTATTTTGAGTGCCTTCCAACCCAGGGGGCTCATCTTCCAGCATTATGTGGGAAATATTCTGTGGTGGTTCCTCGGGTTTTCATTGGCTAATTTTCAGAAGTAGATCTCCAGGCCTTTCTTCCTAGTTTGTCTTAGTCTAGATGCTCTGCTGAAACCGATCCACCATGGGTGACAGTGCTCTTCTTGAAATACTAGTGGCATAGCTTCCAGCATCACAGCAACGTGAAAGCCACCAAAGTATGACAGATGGTGGTGGCATTAGTCATTTAGGAGATGCCAATCAAACCCACAATGAGATACTGTTTCACCCTACCACTAGAATGGCAATGATTTAAAAAAAGCAGAAAATAACAGATGTTGACAAGGATGTGGAGAAATTAGAACCCTCAGCATTGCTGATAGAAATGAAAATGGTACAGCCGCTGGGGAAAACAGTTTGGCGGTCCCTTGAAAAGTTAAACATAAAAATTCCATATGACCCAGTGCGATGGTTAAGATTATGTGTCAACCTGGCTGGGCCATGATTCTCAGTATTTATATGTGATCACCTGGAATCTGATGTGAGTAGCCAATCAGTTGAAAGGGAGTTTCCTTGGACTTGTGGCCTGCATCCGAATATAAGCAGACGTTCTGGCTTTTGCCTGCACAGGATCCTGCAGCTGGCTCCTGTTCGTCTGACCTCTAGTTCTTGCGACTTCAGCTAGCAGCTTACCTGCCAGTCTTGGGATTCGTCCATCTTCACAGCCTGTGAACAAGAGCCCTGCTCTACAACCTGCCAATCTTGGGTCCACCAACCCCTGCAGCTACGTGAATCAGGAAAAGCCTCTATCCTGATCCACAGACTTGGGATGTACCAGACTCTACAATCATGTGAGTCGTTTCCTTGATATAAATCTCTCTCTATATATATTTATACACTTTACTGGTTTTGCTTCTCTAGAGAACTCAGCCTAAGATGCCCAGCAATCCCAATCCTAGGTATATGCCCAAAAGAACTGATAGCGGGAACCCTAACAGAAACTTGTATACCAATGTGCATTCAGCACTGTTCACAATAGCCAAAAAATGAAAACAACCTAAATGCCCATCAACAGATGAATGAATAAACAAAATACAGTACATAGATACAATGCAATATTACTCTGCCATAAAGAGAAATGAGGTCCTGATACATGTTACAACATGGATAAATCTTGAAAACATCATGCTGAGTGAAATAAGTCAGTCACAAAATTGCGAACATTGTATGATCCCACTTATATTAAATAGGTAAATGTATAGAGCCAAAGTTTATTAGTGGTTACCAGGGGTAGGAGGAAGGGTGAGGGGGGAGTCTTTGTTTAGGGGGCATTGAGTTTCTGTTAATGGTGGTGGAATAATTTGGAAATGGATAGTGATGATGGTTGCACAGCATGACAGATGTAATAATGTTACTGAATTATACAAGTAAAAAATGTTGAATTGGCAAATGTTTTGTTATATATACTTTTACCACAATAAAGCAATTTTTAAAAGGGTGTGAGGATTCTTCATTTTTCTACCAAATAGTTGTTTGCCTAACTAGACTGTAAGATCAGTGAAAGCACGTCCATGTAGTGAAAACTTCCAGGAGGAAAAACAACCAAACTGATAACTGAAGAATGAGTGGCCAAGACACAAACAAGCAAACAAATAAAACACCACTGCCAAATTTAATAAGAAAAGATACTCTAATCAGATAACGGAAAAAATAATAAATCTATCTCTATCCATTTTTTAAAACTAAATAAACAATATTCTAGGAATAAAAACACCAAAATTGATTCAGAATGAAGCAGGACATGTAAACAGACCAATGACAATAGGAGATACTAGAAAAGTTGTCAAAGATAAAAATCCATTGAAAGGTATTGTACCTAGAGTGATTTATAGGCTATTCCTTTCAAATTTACAAGGAGGATATATTGTTTTTATGACATGTAATTTGATCAGGAGATAGAAAAGATAGAAATCTAATATTCTGAATTTTTTTACTCCCAATATTTTATTTTCCTTCTGTACTGAATTTTTGAAAACTATAAGAACAGATGCTTATGACAACATTGCTCATTTCAACTTTTTCCATTAACTTTTTAATTTATTGGAATTGTTTTCTTCTGGATCCTTTTTTTCTTCATGTAAAATGATTTTGAGGTATAAATTAAAGTAACAAGAACAAATCAAATCTTAAGTGCACAGTCTGATGAATTTATACCTATGTAATCACCCATATAACTAACACCCATACCAAGATATAAAATATTTCCAGTATCCCAAAAGGCTCATTTGTGCTTCCTTCCAAACCCCTTTTCCCAAAAGAAAAGCACTATTCTGACCTGTATCACCACAGATCAGCTTTACTTGTTTTTAAACTTCATACAAGTGTCACACATATTTTGTACTCTTATGTGTCGGATTTCTTTCACTCAATTTAATGTCTGTGAGTTCCATCCATGTTGTTGCATGTAACCATAGTATACATCTTGTCCCTAGTGTGAATATAGCACAGCTTATTTATCTGTTTTCCTGTTGAAGGACAGTTGGATTAATTCTAATTTGGAGCTACTGCGAATAAAGCATCCATGCACATTCTTTTGGTGGACATACGCATTTATTTCCCTTGGATCATGCCCAAGAGTGGACTCTCTGGGTAAGAGAGTAAGTATATGTTTAGCTTTAACAGACATGAGTTTCCAAAGTGGTTATGCCAATTTACACTTCCTTGAGCAACATAGAAGAGTTCCAAATGATCCATATACTCAGCAGCACTTGGTATTGTCTGTTAAATTTCAGTCATGTGGATGAGTGTGCAATGGTATCTCATTATGGTTTTCATGTAGATTTTAAAATAAAAATTTATCAATCAATTTGAATTTTCTCCTTTTGTGATCAACAGGAAACAATAATTTAATGCCATAACATTCAAAAACTAGTAGTCAAAGAAGGAAATAGAAGATTATGAAGAGGAATAAAAAAGAGTATCATGCTCAGCTCCTAACTCTATTCCCTACCCACACCCCATTTCCAGAGTCATAGATGTGAGTCAACAAACTCTTGAGAATTTTCTCAAATCCAGGGAGAATCAAACTAAATAGAAAGCCTCACCCCTACCCCCATTCTGAAACAGAAAGGTTTGCTGGAGAAAAACGCATTGAGTAAACAATGAAGAAAACTCTTTGACAAATGTGTAGGGCTACTCACCGAACAGGCAGGAGCACTCAAATAGTGTGTGATTACGTGAGAAAACTAAACTGATCTCAGGTATAGTGAGAAAGATGTTACCTGATTCTATCAGCAAAGACAGTATATAGAAGCATCCAACAACGAGCGAGATGGAATAGGAAACTGCTTGTCAACCATGGAAACATGCTTGGGGTGTGGCTGAGTAGAGGTGTTTAAAATTTCTCAGATAGCACAGATACACTGAACCTTGGTGTCTGTATGCCATTCTCCTCTAAAACGAATCAGGGTTGCTTGTTAAAATGGCTGATGCCAGTATAGGGACAGTACAAAATGAGTCTGAGTCATCTGTGTCAGAAAGCAAGGAAGCACTTAAAGAAATGTAGGGACATGTCAAAAGGATAACTTGAAGGAGCTTCCACTGGCCAAATGTGGGACAATTTCAGCATCAAAATACATAATGATAGTAATGAATTATAGTCCATTGAATAAAGTAAGAATATACGATTACATATTGATATAAATAAATAAATAATAGGGGAAAAGGAAAGCTGTTATTTACACAAGAATGCTGAGTGATAAATACAGATCGAACGAGACGGAATTAGAAATCAGCACTTTACGATCATCACCATCATAACAATTGTTTTAGGCCAAGAATCTTTAATGAATGTTTAAAAAAAAAAGTGAGTAAAACTTTGAGGAGTAATAGAATATTTACATAGTCTCAATGTGTCTATTTATATAGTCTTAAAGTATCTCCCCAAAAGATACTTATTAATGACAAAGAGAAAAATAGGAGCTT